CCAACAACATGAGGGACCCCGTGTTCAGTTAGCCCATGAGTGTTCCTGATGCTGTTTGTATTGAGACACAATCATAGAAATCAGTCTCTCTCTCTCTATATATATATATATTATATTAGCAATATTCAGGCTTAAGTTTGTTGATAATTGATCACCAGTTCCAAGTTGTGTGGTGATCGGACTTTATTTGGTGTCGTTCATTGCTGGTTTGGTGTCCTTGCGATTGCAATGTGCTTTGCAACTAATATAATATTACTTGTGAGCAGGCTCATTAGGCAAGACGATTCAGAATCACCAGAAATTGTTGCCGTTCAAGCTTCATGATTCATACGCACTTAGCCCAGATCTTGTGTGGGAGGGGCATGACACAGTCCTCACATGACCGCTCATCAAAACTTCTGTGTCTTCATGGTTGATATTGATATCATCATGGTACCACCAGGGGAAGGCAATGAGGGCCCTATCCCAAGCGAGCTACATGCTTGATTGTCCATATACCACCAAATCATAGCTCACGACTCACGACTCACAACTCAGCATGCTACACCACCGACATGATCGACATTTTTTCAGGTCTTTATTGATTGCCCAGCGCTTGAACATCACCTGGACCAGGGGTGACATCTCAAACCCCTATTCGTTTAAGAAGAGTTCATTGTGAACATTCAAACATTGTGGGAGTCGACGTTAGTGCATGTCAGTGCTGTTTTGTCAGGAGAACTTCGTGATGGATTCCAACGCTTGGACCGTGCACTGAACGTCCTGCAGACATCCTTCCAGGATGTTCGTTTGTTCGTCGCCGCCGCCACCTGACCGTGTCGATGGGTGACCTGCCGTCGTGAGTGTTCATGATCGGTCGGGGAACCGTAGGTCAACTACATGGTATCTACAGATGGGGTGGGCTAGTGAAGTGGGAGTTCTTCTCATTTGGGTGGCACATTGTGGATCACACAGAATCACTCATATGAGAAAGGAGATTGAGTTGGAAAGTGTAATGAAAGTCAGATGCAATAGATTACTATGTTGTGTGTCTCAAGGATTGACTTCGAAGACGATTATTCTTGGCCAACAGTTGCAGAGGGATATGATTCAATGGACATAAACCTATAAGGAGGGGGGTTCTCACTAAAGTACACTTGCAAACGCATCAGCCAATATCATATATTTTGAGAGAACGTGGAATTCGGATCATGTCTCAATCTTTGGGCGTTGAACACCTACTCAACATCTTTTTTCCGGCCAGGGAACAGAGTGATTCTCCATTATTTCATTCGTGGGCTGGATTGTCAGATAGAGGAGAACCAGCAAAAGTTTTGGAGGAACTCACCCAGAATCGCATGCCTGTGCACCCGGATGAACCCAGTACCCCAAACTGAAAGTAACTAGTAACAAGAAGCTACTAGCAACAAGGTGCATCGCTACTAGTAACAAGGGCATACACAATCCAGCTCTTCATCTCTTAGTACGTGAAAGGACTCGTCGATCGGAGCAGGACCGCTCATGATGGGTGCTTCCGGGCGGCTTTCATGGTCGGTGTCATTTGCGCGATGTACAGAGGAACGTTGGAAGCGGCATGCATAGAATCCAAGACATGTGTGTTAATAGGAGAGGAACAGCACAGCAACAACCTCTTTGGAATGCTTGTTAGGGAATTCCTAGGCAGTGCCGCCTCATGTGCGTTAAATTTATATATATATATACAATATCGCGAGAATCCCTTTTGCCTATAGCTCCCTGTGACCCTAGGCCCGGAGGGGACTTTTCAATATAATAGCAAACAACTGGAAGGCTACTGGAGCGCATGACCTGCATAAAGAAAGTAGGTGCTTGCTGTTTCTTGTTGGTGAATTGTGAGGTTTGTTTTGCTCAACATAGTTGTTGCTTTCTGAAGTCAGATATTAACCCCAAACTGGCATGTATGCTGTTTACGTCTCCTGTACTGTAAGGGTCAACAATTGTGCAGTGCAGATTCTTGAAACAGCATATTTTGCGTAGTTTGTGAGCAGTGCAGCAAAGGGGAGAAAGAGACAGATATTTTTACCCACAAATGTTGCCCCAGCAAAGCACTATGTACAGGAATCTCACGGAAGCTCCTGTGTTGAGCAGTTCTATGTTACCCTTCTTGAGCACAACTAGCTTAGGCGATGGAACCAATCCACAAAACGCTTATAATCAGAATTTCAGTGTCATTTTCTAGATTGCTTTATGGCAACAGCCGGGAAAAAGCAGTTTCGAGGTCTAGACGTGGTGTAGACTGTAGACTATGAGTGTCGAGGGAACAGCTTTTGGGGCTGCGCGATTCGCTACGCGGCCACGAATTGGTGCCCACCTTCCAACTTCCCATGGACTGGCAGCTCAGTGGTGTTGGTCAAGATGCGTGGATGACTGTAAAAAGAGGGATCGCAGATGTGGGTGGAAGTGCAGGTTGGGTCCGGCTTTTGGGGGTTCATGTCGGAGGGACAAATGGTGGGCTCATGAGGCAAAGATTTGGCCAAGGTAATTACCCAATCTGAGTATTTACCATGATTTGGACCACAGATATCTTAAAAATACAAATATTCTGATGGATACTGGATACTTGACATGCAATTTTCTTCTCAGCCGGATGTGTCCAATCACCCGCAGTGTCAAACGTGTTCGGACACCGAACTCGTCGGTTGGGGATACCGAGGCCACAGCATTCGAGAAGGGTTCTCAGTGGCAGAAGGCAGCGGACTTCGTATCACTTTTGCATCTCTAGTTGCTGAATAAGAATTGTGTGTTTTCTTGTTGTTTGTGTTTTTCTCAGGTAGAAAAGCTGAATAAGGTCGACTCAGACGATATGATTTTGACATGGTTGACGTGGAGCACTGCTGCGAGCTGGAGTTGATTTGGACTAATTAGTCTTTGTGGATTTGGGCCAGTTTGCTCCACTACCTCCACTATCCTAAATCCTTATAGTCAGGTATCAATCGAGACACATTGACAACCCTACTGACATTCGCTCATACTTGCAATTTAGCTGTTTCCTTGGTTTTTTGTTTGACTTGCGGCTCAGGCACAACTATGACTTGCACGTCCTATAATTATGCATTGTTGTGGTACCTTGTCGTTGGCTCTCCTTCCTCCACCACCACCACCACCTATTGACCAGAATGATATGAAATTGTAGTCATGGCCATGGCAGATCAGGCAGTATAGACTTTATGCGTTGTTTCTTGTAGAAAAGGGAACGATCTAGTGCAAGCGCCTTTGTGACGCCACTGAGTTCATATTCACCGTTCAGCCAATGTGGACTGCCTGCTAGATTCCTGAAGGATTTCTCACAACGGCACACCGTACCACCTCCCATGGCCAGTAGTGGGTTGGTGGCCAAAGACCGGAGTCGCACTCCCTTTTTGATTGATAAGGAGTTTTGGCAGTAGCCTTTGGCCTCAAGTTGGTGTCTGTTCAAAGCTCTAGCTCTATGAACCTCCCCCTCCAAACACCTCACAAGACCCAAGACACTTCTGCAAGACATCACCTCGTGGGTTTCGACTGTGAGGCCGTCTCCTTACTGCACGCTGCAGGCCGGCTGGCGTGCAGGAGTTCAGGTGACCGGCTGGTGACGGGCTTGTCAGAAGGGGAGGTCAATGAACACCTTGAGTTTGATTAGGGTGTCAAGGGGCAGCTTTCTTGGTTGAAGAGAAGAGGAGTTCACCTTTCATGGTTGGGTAGGTTCCGAAAGAACTTGACCCAAGCATGACGTCGGTTGTATAGATGATACCTACACAGAAAAGGTTTCATATACAGGCTACAGGTCACACACCAGTTTTCCACTAACGGAAGTGCGACCTTTTCTCAGTGGGAAGTGTTTGAGGATGCCAAAGACACCTTATCAGGCTTCTCAGGCACAAGGGAACAAACTGTTCTGTATTCTCGCATGAACGCCACCTCAGATAATCAATCAATTACAAGATACTTGGGCAAACCATGCTCACGTCGTCCAGTGAGACATCACTTATAAGTGTTTGTTGGATCCTTGATGCAAGGGGTTTGTATTCTGCCAAAGCCCGTGCCATCACCATCCTCATCTCGGCCAGCCACTCCGTGCCTCGTTTCCTTCCTCAGGCGCCGATGTCGTTACATTCTCGGCGGCCTGTAGTGCCCTGGCACGAGGAGAGCGACGCCGGCGTACCGGGCCGAAGGCCTAGGGCCTGGTTGAGGTGATGAGGTATGGTATGGTCCACATCGATGTATGGTATGAGGTGATGAGGTAAGGCCTAGAAGGTCGATGACATCACCTCAAACCCGAGAGTTTACAGAACAAGGACATCGCTAGTAGGGTGTGGGCCATCGCTATGAGGGTTTAGGCCGGTGGAGAGATTGAAGCCACAGTATGTCAAAGTAAACTCTTGGGCTTGATCATCCGAATATTCTGGGTAGCTCAGATGAGGAGAATACTGTGACATGGCATGGACCTAAAGCTTAGGTCGTCAATGAAATGTCAGTGAAACTATACATTTTTTGTATATAGTCCACGTGCACACTGCGAACTGAGATCTGAACGGGTGTATTTGTGAATCACATCTCCCAAAAATTGCGGGACGAACAAAAGGTGTACAAACCAGATGAAAGTTCATTGGACCCTGGAGCGTGTAATTCCAAGCCACATGAAGTATTTTCACACATTGGTGGTTCTACCCCCTGACAATCAACTACAACGTACTTAAGCCCTTTCATTGCGGGTCTATCTCAGGCCAAGTCATCACCCAACACCGACCTCCCTTCGCCGGCGGTGAGGAGCTCCCGACGGCTGGCAGCTGCCCTTGGAGTTGCTGCGGAGCTTCCAGCAGCGGAGCCTCGAGTTCGATGCCGGAGCCCCCGATTCCGCGGCTCTGCCGCGCCCGCAGCGGCCCGGACGGAGACCGACCCGCAGTGGGGACCATCCGGGTCGATGCGATGATGTGAAAAGAACTTTGCAGGGAAGGCAAGAAGAACTGCTCAGGTTAGTAAGAGCCTCTAGTCGTGGATTTGTGAGGAATGATGTGACTTGACTAGAGGGGAAAGGGGGTTGGTAAGTATGGTGCAGGACTCCGGACCCACGGTGCCCTTCTTGGGTGCTAAGGCAAGTTAGGAGGCTCCAAATACTGTATATCTCATGGCCGCAGTATCCACTGATCTATGTGACTGTAGCACATGCATCTGCCTGCAGGGCCTGGTATACAAGCCCCGTTCGTACCGCACCTTGCAGCACTCCAGGTGGTGTTTTGTGCTAGCGTGCTCAGTGCCTGTGAGAAGGGCCCGCGCTGGGAGGCGTGCAAGCGTGATCAGAGCGGTGGATGAAGGGGCGGTGAGTGGTTTTGGATTCAGCTCTTGAACATGCTAAGTTGATTGTATGTTTTGTTTTGCATGTTGTTTTCCGGGAGGTGGAACAGGGTTGAACATCTCCCACTAATTGGTTTGGTCATGTTTGGTTAGTTGCGGACCAGAACCGTGCTCGCAGGGTAAAACAAGAAACTCTGTATAAAAGTCTTACTCGACATACGTATGTTTAAATAACACCGTTTTTAACACGCTTTCCAGGTTTCATTCGTTGATGGAAACCTCCAATTGATTTGTTTCACTTGGCCAGTTCGATTTCATGGCAGTCCAGACACATTAGGTGGTTGTGACATGTTGTGATTCCCCACCTGCCAGGTGAGGGTTGTTAGCCTTTTCAGAGCTGTCCCGGTCCTCCTCCTCGTCCTCCTCCCATATGCCATATAGGATGTCAGATGTGTTGCCAGAATATATGCCGAATAGAATGTCAGAACACATGTTGACAAGGACGTCAGAACACAGTCCAGAACATTTCCCAACCTTTATGATAGATGATGTGTCAGATTGATGCCAGAACATTGTGTCAATCCACATGTCAGGCCGCCTTTCTCACGCTAGTCTGTCAATAGATGTGCCCTCCCTTCTTCCAAGTCGCCTCTCAGGGTGGGGATCACTCAAAGTAAAGTCATGTTTTTTTCCAGAAGTGTGCCTGGTGCAGCAGTCCAGTGTGCCGCAAAAATGTGGTGTACAATCTCATCAAAACATGTCGTACAGCAAGACGGCTGGTCAAGTGCTTCTATGCCTCACTCAAGAAGATTGAATCATACTTGTTTAGTTGGTTGGTTTGATCGGTTGTTGTCTTAGTTTATTGTGGAAGCCTTTTTGAACATATATATATATATATATTTATATTTGTTTTGCTCACAGGAATTCGGAATGGATGTACTAGGCATTCCAATTCACGGAATCAGCAGCATTTTGGCTTGGATGTTTTTATGTTCCAAAAGGGTTTGGTTGGTAAAGCCACCCTCAATCGCTGGTGGTTCCTCCAGCAGCTCTGATTCAATGCCAGATTGGTATCGAGTTGTTAGACTGGATGCGCGGGGACGCCCAGCCGTGAAACTGTTGCAAAAATCGGTGACTGGAAAGGTGATATTGGGTGTGTAGTTCGAAAAGTATGAGACCAACTGGTTCTGTTTTTAATTTGGTTTTCCTTTTTCATGGGAACTGGCTGAGGTCTCCCCATTCTGATGCACTTATATTCTGATGCACTTATGATGCACTTCAACAAACTGCATTCTTAAGCTGATATGACCTTGTGTTGCGGAGGTAGCTGAATTGCAGACTCCCGCAGCGTTCTGCACATGATAGCCGGCTGATTACTGGATCCACATGTTTGGGTTCTTCAGTTAGTTTGGGGACTCTCCCAAGAGGAGACATGGGCATCCGCAATGAACGGCATAGCAGGTTAAGTGATGTTTCAAAATGTTATTTTCAGTTTCTGCACTTCCAAAATGTGATTCAAGTACGTTTCACATGTTCTTGAAACAATAGATTCGTTCTCTTAGACTAAAGATCAGAGAAAAAATCACGCATGACATGTTTTGATATACAGTCTACAGTTGCGTAATATTTTCTTATGTGTGAAGTGTTTGGAAAACAAACAAACGCGGCAATGAACCACAATCACATGGGTTTCACGGGATGAAAGGGTGCATGTCCCGGAAAGGGTGCAGGTCATAGTTATGTGTTGTAATCGTTCTCTTGGATCGCTTGGAATCCCACGCAGGTTCCTCACTGGACCTTCCACTGAACTTGTTCTGTTACCTGGCTGCACCAGTCGATCTTGCGGTGCCTGTCCCCAGATTCGGTGCAGAGGGAAGGATTGCATTTCAGGCAAAGTTCCCATGCATTCCTTTTTACTGGTTCTTTGCAGTGCAGAAGGTTTTTTCCTGTTGAAGTTCTTTCCATGTCTGATTATTTGGATGTTTTTTATCTTTGATCCTATGGTCCTATGGATTTGTTGATTCATCATGAACCATAAATTAGGAGCTGCTTGTAACCTGACAACAGCCTGACGTATAGGAAGACAAGTAGGAATAACATCACTGATTTCGCTACTTCATCGGTTTGTGATCTGTGAATCGAAGCGTTTTATCATGGTCTCGCAGGCGCACGGAATGATGGGTGGATCCCAGCGAGTGGTTGTGCAACATGTCCAGCTGAATCCAGCTGACACTCGTTCCAACGATGCAGGTGTAAGTTTGTTGAATGAAAGAGGAGCAGGCTTCTTCCAAGATCCGGTTGTCGTCCATGTTGGTTGGAGAGAGGTGCTGACATGTCGGCGCCACCGACCGGTCGATTGGCCTTTTTGGTGGTAAAACCTTCGTGGCGCCTTGGTGTCAACATTCAGGATCGATCCGTCCGGTCGAGAAAAGGTAGACTCCTGATGAGTAACTCCCCCCATTGAATTGAAAAACCTCTTCTACCACTCTCGCACGGGATGGTCAGTTGATCTGCACAGTGCCGCCAACATTCCACTGGGTGGCAAAGGAAACATCGGCCCCACGAATGACAACCAAAAAGGACATCAGCTATGGACAGAACGGAGCAACCGCGAACTCCCAGCCAGAAAGACACTGACCAGTGACCCTTAGGGCAATCACTGTCAGTTTCTCAAGCTCAGAATTTGAGCCACCCCGGATCACCCTGGAGGGCATGGTCTTTCCCCATGAGTTGTGTTTGCGGGGAACGTGTTGCCCCGGATGAAGTTCATAGAATTCTCCTAGAAAACGCAAGACAGCCCTGCAGCCTCCTGATGAGACTTTTAAAGGTGCAATGTTCATCAGACAACACATGGCACTTGAAGCCACGGATGGCAAAAAGAACGGCAAGCTCCGCAAGCGAAATTTGCAAATGAGTGGCTTGCTGCCAACCAAGCTGATAAACAAAAAAAAACAAAATTACTCCAGTCCTCGTCTGAAAATTGCAACTTCCGTGGAAGAACTTTAGGCCAAGCGGCTGCACACTTCCATGGGAACGCTTCGGGTTTGGAGTCCCAAGGCAGAGCAGGGAAAAGTTGCTGTGGGGAGTAGTGCACTATAGTGCATCTCATCCCGCTCTTCATCACATGGTTCTGCAAACGGCTGCATACTATTAGTTTCGTGAGCCATTCTTGGCGCTCAAGCACGGCTTTTTGGAGCTCTTCATAAACCTTGGGGTATAGGTGCACAGGCATGAGCTGCTTGCTTCGCAGCTTTATTTGTTGCTCTGTTACCTAAAAGGTCTGCACGAGTTCTTCGGTAATGAGTTCACCAGGAACACCTTCCAAGACCTGCGACGAAGCCCAAGTCACTTGAAGTGCTAAGTGGTTATTAATCACCAGTCTACATTAAGAATTTTAATTAGACTATGTGAGACTTAAAGCCACCCGATTGCTGCAACCTCAACCATCACGAGGTGCATATCGGTCACCGGTTTCACCGAGCTTGACCGTGAGTCTGCAGGTTTCGGTGCTGCGATTAGTGTGCGGGTGCCTGGTTGCCAGGGAAAACACGGGCTGGGCCAAAAGCCGGGCGCTTCACTGCGAGTCAAGAAGAGGGATGCGGAAGGGACTCGGCTGAATCGGCTGAGAAAACGGATGTTCCTGGGACATGGGAGCATTCATGATGTTCCGGGTTTGTGACTTCTATTGTGGAAACCTGGTGAAATACTCCTTGGCAAGTCTTTACGGATCCCCACTTGACGCATACATTCCGTGCATGATCTATTTCCCTGATTGTTTGCTAGCGGCTTGCTGAGAGTATGCCTGGGATTTGGGTAATGTAACCTGGAAACACCATTGATCTCTTTCTAGATACATACTAGCAACAAAAACATACTATACCATGCAGTAGTCAGTAGACCTGTTGACATTGACATGTTCTTTGCAACACCTGGTGTTGTTCTGCTGTCAAACGAACAGAGATGGAGGGGAATGGTTTCAATGAAAGCTTGCGGCACATTGATATTGCTTGACGGGGGGCTACCTCCAAACATAAGCAGGTTAGGGACTGTTCATGAATAGGTTCACAGCCGGACACAAACAGTACCATTGGTTTCCTGCTTGGTGACTTGGTGAGATTGATTGAGTTATTACCAGTGTTTTGTTTGAAAAACGGCGGGAAGGTCAAACAAACAGAGGTCCCGGGCGCTTTAATCCTTCCGCCCGGGTGAGAACTCGGGCAGGCATGCCGGAAAGGCTCCAATTGGCAGGCGGGTGACAGAGCAGATGAGATCCGGTTGTGAGAAGGAAAAGACGCGGTATTGGGGATGGAAGTGCAGGTGGAGCTTTGCTCTTGGCCTTTTTGCTAGGAGGTCTTATATAAGTCTATTTAACGAGTCTTCCTTCATCCTTAAACATCCAAGTATCCCAAGTCCTCAAGATAATTGAAGCATATTGAAGCAATGGTACCAACACAGAGATGACAGACCGTCTATATGTTGTTTGTTCGATGGAACTTCGACGACGAGAACCAAGAGCTTTTAGCCGGTTGCCGATGCTCATATTGAGTGGTGGTTATAGATGAGTCTTCAGTTGAGGCTGAAGACGATCTCTCACTATTACATCTATTGTATACATATATATATATATGTATACCATTGTATACCGACACGACCCTCGGACAAACTTCTCAGAACTTGGCTGGCTTGGCACAAGACCCTTGAAGTTAGGTATGTTCAGCAGTGTGACCAGTTTGCAAACAAAGCAACAAGAGTGACTGTCAGAGGATCTGAGAAAGGTATGCATATCATGGACATTTATTTCTATCGACTGACTTGTTTTCTCCAGCGTCCAATCAGAGAGTGTCATCACTCCAACAAACTCCCCAACCTTCTTTGGGTTATTGGACGCTCCATACCACTGCTTCACCTATGGTCTCATCTCGCATATGTATCCATCACACTGGAGAGATCGGATTTATGAACCCGGTCCTTTGGGGAGGATAGAGCTCCGTATGCTCAGAGGCTCGCGCTCTTTGCGTCCCGGGGCGAGTCTAGCGGAGTCTAGCGGCTAGCGAGGTTGTTGCAGCTCTCTGCAGAAATGACCTTCTTGCCCGAACACCATCCGTCCACTCTTTGACTTGATTGAACACCCTGGTGCCCGACAGGGCGCATGGGCCTTGCTCGAGGATATTTGGTCCTCGGCTTTGCAACCTGTGCGCAGCTCAGTGTGTCAAGTTGCGTGCGCGGAGTGCCAGTTTTTGATCTAGAACTGCCTGTGCTGTTGAACTAATCTGAGGGGACACTGGCAAAAAGTTGATGATTGAAGAATATTCAAGAACGCACCGCTGAGAGCGCTCCTTTCTGGTAATTTTCTTTGACGTTTTACTTTGTGGAACTCCAGCAAGTAAAGTCTGTGGAGACAGGGTTGTACCAGCGTGTCGACCGGACAGTAATTAGTGGACTCCAGTGCAGCTGCAGTAGGGAGAACAATTCACCGCCGGACATAGCAGAGCCATTGTGCATGAGCTAAGCCCTGATGTGCTGAGGACTTGGTGGCCTTTAATGCCACGATCAGCTCTTGCGAAAAGGCCTGGCGTCTCAAAAGGGAAGAAGTTGGCACTCAGTTTTGACCTGATCTTTATAGCATGCTCAGTAGCACGCTCAGAAAAATTGCCTGATCAGATGAAATGTGAAGAAACAGACAAAGCAGGCCATAAAGATCAGGGCCGACGGGTGCGTTTCCAATGAATTCCAACTACCCCGGAATCGGGAGAGTGTCATGGACCCGGCTCGACTGGGGAGCCGGGTGTTGCCCCCCGAAAAATGCTTGTTTGATCTCGTTTGAAGAGAGGGCATGGGAATTTTCTTGAAACTTCCAAAAACGTGAAGTGATCTACTGTAGCTGCGGAAGCCGATGCCGCCAGTTCTCATTTAATCATCGACTAAACGACCGGAAATCTAACTTCGGTAATGAACTGGTTTGAAGCCTAGCTCAGGTTCGCATGTGGAGTTCAGTGAAACCTCGTGGCCCAAACGAAATGTACCCGATTTCTGCCAGAAGGAACGAGGGAGCAGCTCCATTTTCTGCCAGTGGAAAGTTAAAACAAGTTTCTCCGCAGGGTGAAGTTCAGGTGGTCGGACATTCTCCACTTGCGAAGTTGGCGTTTTTGAGGCAGTTTGACTCACTCAGCTGGGCTCCACAGGTGTTCTTTTTCGCCACAGCCTGGCCTGATGCCAAGGCCCAGCGCTGGGAATTTGCCATTGAACTCTTGGAGATGATGAGCCGCTCGCCGTGGGAGTTCCGGGGAGAGGGATAACTGAGCTACGGGCCCCGCAAGAAGCTGAGTGACTGAGTGGGGGAAAACTGAGTGGGGAACAAATACAGGGCGAAGCCATTCTTGGTGTATTTCACAGCTTGCACCAGGACCCGACCGTTTTTGTGGCAAGTAAGATGGGGAGACAGAGAACTGCACTTTAGATGATGATATGCAATTGAGGAGGGCTTAGGAGAATCTGTGCCCAACGCAATCCTTAGCACTCATGGCACAACAACTCGCACAGTCAACACAGTGTTCTCGTGAGGCAACACTTGGTCTACTAAGTTATTGAACATGTGTGAGGGTGAGAAGACATACTGTAAGAATTGTGTGAAAATACAGAGCGATCGTGTCATATCTACACCAGAGCTCCATTGGTTCGGTACAAGTTGAAATACGTGGTGTGGCTTTTGAGGGTTCAGACCTCCTTTGGATATGGCAGACGTGACTGGCGAGGTCTCCAGCAAGTCCCGCCCGACGTGGTGAGTTTCAATGCCACAGCGCGCTCACCCAGATGTTGGCGTTTGCGACAGTGATGTGGATGATGTGGGTGTGGCTATACGGTTGAACCCTACAGAAAGGTGGATACCCCGCTGAGACCATGTTTCGCTCATTTGTGGACGAGGGTGCCAATTACAAGCCTGTATGTGGGTCAAAATGGTTATGTGGGTCAAGACGGTTTCCGTGTCTCTCAGGAAAGCCGCGTTGCTGCAGAAAGGGGTGGGTGCTTTGACACACAATCGCTGCTAACCACACCAATCAATTGGATCAGTAGCAGCTCAGCATACCCTGGGTTTTATACAGTCTGCTGATTTTGAGATATTTATATATGGTAAGTAGATCGGGATACCTAATATTCTTAGATAATATTCAATCAAGGGTAACTTGATTTTTTGGGGGATTCCTTTTGATATCTTTTGACATACACTCACGTGACTCATGTGCAGGCGAGGCGTACAAACTGCAATGTTGCATATGTTTTATGCACATGCATATATACTACTGGCTGCAAGCCAATCAACCAAATTGACTCTTCTAAATGCCAATCACATGCAGAACACATGAGCATTATAGCATGTACTACCCAAATGCTCAGAGCTGGACCGGGAACTGTCGAACTATCCCGGTCCAGGCGAGCGCCTGCGAGAAACGTGCGCAGTGGAGCGGGGGAGTCACAGCGAGCGTGGGTCAACCGAGCGATTTTGGGTTTGGAGGAACCCAGGCGTTATGGTTAGGAATTGACCCTAGTAGCTTCTTGTTACTAGTAGCGATGCCCTTGTTACTAGAGGATCTAGAGGGGAAAGGGGACACATGAACAAATCGACTCCGGGTGTTGGTCGACGTTTGCCACTTTCTGCGTTTCAATGGGTCTATCTCGATTGTGGTCTGCGGGCTGTTGTTTGAAGGCCAAGACCGACCCTATATTCACCACTCTTTGTATGAAATCCTTTTTACAGAGGGTACTGACGTTCCTTCCGCGTACTGAAACGTCCCTTTTCAGTGTCAAAGCTGGAGTTCAGTCTGCGATCAAGACCTAGGAATTGATTTGAAAATCATCTCAGATCAACAGATCGTTCATAGATCAACCTTTTTTTGCTGGTCCCATTCGAAGCGCATTCAAGACTTGGCAATTGATTTCAATCGGGAACTGGTGTGAAAAACATGTAGTTTCTTTTGGAGCTTGAGTGACGCTTGAGTGGTTCTAAAAGACAGAGTAATAGTCTAGTTGTTTTCTTGCTCTTGCAAGTCTTCAGGATGTGGGTTGGCATTGTTCAGATAAAGGTAGGACTGGCTACTACCCAGGTTGAAAAGGCACACGGTCAGCCACCTTCTCAGTGGGTTGATGGCTGTGGCCAACAACTACACGAATCCTCCAAGCCCCTTCAGCTGGAGAATCATTGAAACACAACTGCCATGTGCCCCCGCTACCTCATTGAATTTCAGGCCAATGCTTGCTCAACCAAGCTCTGAACTTTGCCTCTCCCTAGTGAAGTTTAGGCAAGTTTACTTTTTGATCTCGTCAGATCCTTCTCCCAATGTTCTTAAACCGCGCCGCAGCACCAAGGCTGGGCTCTTTGGGTCTTCTCGCAGTTGAAGAGGACGTGGGGGCCTGCGGAGCGGTGAGGGGTGCGACCAGTACGGCTAGTAAGGCTGATGTCGCACTCAGTTAGTAGTTAAACCAGGAGGCTGTGTGTTGAAGAAAAAGAAGAAGAAGTAAGTGGAAGAGCAGAATTGAACCTTTGATTTGACATCGAGGGAGTACGGCGATGAGAGTCACAAGCCTGGCCACAACGAAGAGCCGCGTGGTGTCGAAGATTCCCCGCACCTTGTTGCGGTTTTGATGATTCTGGTGGTAGGGTTGGGACATGTAGGGACACTTCTGGTTTGTGGGAGTCTCCAGAAATTTCCAGTGATTTGGTGACACCACCCAAGCCTAGTGGACTCTAGTCAGTCCTAGTCCGAGTCACAAGTATATATTCTTTGCAAACCAACGGTTCCTGAGTTCCTGTTGCCGTCAATATAGTGTATAGTGTGGGATTTGGGGTCGGGGTCTCTCTGTGTACATTTGGCTCCTAGTGAGATATATGATATATATATATAGACTTCCTGAAATAGAGTGCCATCGACATGATGTGCTTTTGCGAGTTCTACGTCCATTTGCTTTGGTTTCTATACAGCAGTTGGAAGCGCAAAGAACCAAGCACGCTTCTTGCAGAGGACAATCCCAGTAGAAAAGCAGAAAGGCCGGGCTGTAAGTGCTGATGACGGGGAAGAGAAGGCAGTTCAACTAGACATTCATGTTATATATATAGTTGCCATACTTGGTCCTATAACACCCAGTCACATATCCCTTCTTCCAGGTTCTCATCGGATTTTTGCTCTGGGATGTGGATGACTCCCTTGTCTCAGCGCAAAAAAAATCATTGAACTCGTACACAAGTGGAATTTGTTATACACGAACATCCTATTAAGCCTAAGCAGGGCATATACGTGTGAGTCGGATCAATTTTTGTCTACTAATGTTTGTGGACTTCGAGAAATCAGGTGAAAGAGGATTGCAACATGGTGGAAGCCAGGTTTCTATGTCGGGGTAATGGGAGTTGAACCATGTTGAAGCTATTGATTTGTTTTGCATTTGTTTGTTTGATTTGTCATGGTCTTCAACCGTTGTTGCTTGCAGCAATCGCTCCAAGTGATACAATGCAAGGTTTAACTATTTTATGAAAGGATCCCAGCTACTTTGCCAGTGGTTTGGGCACCACCTGTCTACTTGACATTGGGAGTAGCACGTTTGAGTTGCATGATGTTTCAAGCGATGAAACATGGGTGAAGAGTGACGGATGCGCTACTGCACTGCAGGCCAACGGTTCATGATGTTCACGACCATGTCATTGATGTCCCCAGACGATTTCCCGTTTGACCGAACCGTGGCGCAGGTGCCTTGCTGAATATCAGCAATGCCTGTGTCAGCGCGTGTGCAAAGGCCGGCCACGACACGTGTCCCCGCAAGACGTTGGGACCAGAGCGGTTCTTGTAAAATTGTCTTGCAACCAGAAGACGGTCACCATACTGAAAAGGATTTGACACCTATACTATACGCCATCTATATACGTATCCGAATGAGATGAAGGTCCACAACCATCGTGGACCCTCAGCATAGTTGTCATGGGGTGTTATTTTTTGTATTAGCGATACCAAGTTCTGTTAATTACTCTGAAAGCCAGATTTGTTGCAGCACGATTGCACCCCGATGGCTTTTTAATGTATGTCGGTTCAAACGCAGAATTCTTCAATTATGTATCCCAACATGGCAAAGATTAGAGGGTCCCCCTTTTGTAAGGGGGTGCATGCTGAAAGTTGGAAGCACGAATCACTGATGATCGTTTGAGTCTGAGAGTTTGCAGCCTTGACCATATTTGTTCTTTAATTACTTGGGAAACACTGACTGTGTCATTTGAGATATGCTCCACTGGGGAAACCGTTTTGCCTTCAGTTCAAGAAATGTATGTGAGAGGACACTCATGGTTGGCGCCTTGAATGCTCCCGATGAGTTTTGCATCAATATGGAGGGGCATGCAGAGGGGCATTCTCCACGACTGCAAAGTGCTATACCTAGGAGCCTAGCAGTGATGGAATCAGTTGAGGTTTGAGCTAGTAAACCATTGGGCTGTGATGGGATTGGCGCATAGCAATGATGAGGAAAAACAAAGAACACTCTTACACCACCCTTCCGAAAGAATTCCTTTGTGCTTAGCTCTTGCAGGCCACTTTTGCCGAGACGGGTCAGTTGCCGAGGCACCTGGACAGAGGCACCTGCACGGACCGACCGGGTGCCCTGTCTCAGGCACTGCGCTGGCAAGAAGCTTTACTCCTGGGGTTCCCTGGCTGTTACATCAAACAGTTGGAGCATCTTTTCGAGGAGAGTTGGGGGATTGGTGGTTGAATACACGGAGCTGTGACAAGCTATAATATGTGTATATATATATATCATATACAATTATATGACTATATATGTATATACTTCTATTTTGATGTGGCAACTTTCGGAGAGCCACAAGATTCTGGAGAAGCTGAGCACCTTTCTACGTGCGCTCACCTAGAAAGTTTGGAAGCTGTTAAAGAACTGCGCCTTTTGAGAACAAGATGCAGAAAGATGGGTGATTCTTATTGTGGTCTGGACCTTGAAACCAAAAGTACATCGCGTGCAATGTGTTTGCACATCCTGCTAGGACACGGGCACTGATTCAAGGCAACCTCGAGCCGTGAAATAGTTCACCACGCCCTCAAACTGCGTGATTAGCACAAATATGACGGTCGCAAATGGAGCACAGAGGAATACACAAGCGGTTCCTTGTAATTGCATACTGTACATCAAGGAGCCCCTTGGTGAAGGCACTTTGGTGACGCTAGAGCAACATAACAGTGAATGTGTTGCTCAAGGTGCACGGCGGTGGTAAGTATACTGTAGATGCTCTTGGGCTGATCGGCGCACTTTGTTCAAGAAAGAGCACAGACTGCCAATGGTCGCAGCTTCGTTTGAACCTGCAGAACCTCATGAGATAGGCGAGTTGGACGTAACGTCCAAGCCCTTCGGCAAGGTAGTCAGGCATATTGAGAAGAACGTTGCCTCCCAACAGGAAGTTCCGGCAGTCAGCGTTTGTTCAATGGCCAGGCCAATCTTACCTTACCCAATCAATTGGACGTAACCTCCAAGACGAAGTAGCACATCCCTCGCCATCCAGCGCATCAAGACAACAAGAAGAAGCGGGCAGAAGACCCACTAGTAGCGGGCACAAGACCCACCAAAGCGCAACTGCAATCACACCTCAAAAAATATTACAAGAATGCAAGGAGATGTGGGTCGAACTCAAAAGAATGCAAGGTGAGAGAGTTTCTCTTGGAATATGGTTGGCCTATGTTAGCCTTGTGTTAAGTTGATCATAATCCCTCGGGTGCTGCACTACCTGTCTCCATCAGTTTCGATCTTGTTCGATCCAGTAATTGATGCATGCCAAAAGATGCATATCAGTTTCGGTCAGGTGGATAAATTCAGGGAGTCTCCGGACTGGATCATTTCATGTTGGAATGGATCGTTTCGTCCCATGATTCGCCGTGAAAGATGGTGGAAGGTAAATGTCATGTTCAGTCGTTGTCCGCAACGTCCACCAACAGCAGCCCTCCAGCGGAGACGGACTAAGGTTCTTGATTGACTGAGTCACATGTAGGTGGTGGGATGGACATCCTCACTTGCCACCCAGTACTAATAGTTGTATAGCCAAACATATGGCGAGTGGTAGTGCAATGGGTCACATCACATTGCTTCAGTTCAAGAAGGATCACTTGTTTAGCCATATTTAAATAATATATAATAAGACTAATAAGACATTTTGTTCAAACGGTGGTATCGTCCATGCTCACCTTTTAAGCCCAACTGTTCTTGGCTTGTCCCCTAGGCAGCAGATCGATCGACCAGATAAGGTGGGGAAGCGACGCTGGTCGTTTCGCGACCGGTTGCAGCACCGGTCGACACCGGTCGAATCATCGGTGAAAGTGGAACGGTAGGCCGCTAGGAGGGAGAGGTAGCTACTACCTACAAGAAATATCCTATGTAGGACGCAGGATAGCTCACGCACTATTCATTTGGTTCCGGGATTTGTAGGGAAACTTAACCTGGCCAATGGTCATGCTGGTCCGTTCCTTTTCTTCAGAGGAAAGTTCTCAGAACATGTTAAAGCCACAATTTCTAGGCTGACATCTCCTAATGCAGCAAGACTGCTCTCCTAAATGACAAGATTCTTTGGATCTTCATTGCTCTGGTCCTTTTGTCCTTTAAGTTTGGGGCCAGCCGGCCCTTGCTGGTGCTGGAAGTCCTTTGAAACATTGCCGTCTGAAAATATCCAAAGAGTGCGTTCCTCTCTAGTGTCCCAAGCAGATAGCAAATGTTGTTTGAAACACTTTGGACCAGGGAATTCACTTGCATTGTTTTGTATTTAGAGAAAACTCGTTTTGGAGTGGGGGATGCAGGCTGTTATGTGTTTGCTGCTTGACAGGTCACCTACAATGGTCTATTGTGTGCCTGCCGCGCCTCCGGTGGCAGCCGCTGGCCCATGTTGCTGCAGCTCGTGATCGAGATGTCCAGGCGTTCTGAACGGATTCCAATTTGGGCCTTCCAAGCCGATCAGCTGGAAGGACAAGAGAATATGTAGCAATGTAGCGAACAGATCAGGATATACCCCCCATCTGAACCACCATCTTAAATTTGAGCCAATAAGGGTGGGCATAGCCTGAAATCTCATAACGGGATGTCCGGAAGAGATGGATTTCCGTGGAAGAAAAGACCTGTGTTTTCTTCTACATAGGCCCAAGAGAAACATGTGTTGCTGCTTGCATGTGTCGTTGAAGAGGCAACAGAAGATGTCAAGTAGAAATGTAAATGTGTGTGTGTGTGTGTCCAACCCTGGAAAAAGGGTCTTCCAACACTTTTCCTCATAGGCAGGGGGGCAGTGGACCACCATCACTCACTGCCCAACGAAGACAGTGATGGATCGGTCGTGAAGCAATGCGGGACGCCGCATTGTGTACCTGGCGAGTTTTTTTTCCACAAGCTGTCACCCTACTTTTCCACGATTTGATTCATGGTTCTTCATGCTTCCACCCCCAAACAGGTTTTCCCACCGCAGACGTTTTGCCGCTGTGCGCTTTCCGCAGTCACGTATGAAAACTTTTTTGTTGAAGCATCTACAATTGCGCTGACTTTCCACCTTACCGTTGAGCCATTCCTTTCCTCGGGAGATTGCGTTAACTGAAAATCCAAGTTCGAAGTGTGTCCTGCTCAGCCGTCCCACTCGGGTGCTGAGTGTGATCCCCGTCACAGGGGCGCCGTTCTTGCATGGGAAAGCACACACCCCAACGCACCACCGCTCACTGGAACTTCACAGGAAGGCACCGACACCCTCACAGAATCAACTGACATACTGGCCGCCGGGCCAAAAAACGGTTCTTGAAGAATACATCGGATATCAACTTCACCCCCAATGAGGCAGGTTCCCCCACCCCCCCCCCGCTGAGTTTTACTCCCTACCTATTTGGGGCAACATAGGGAAATGGTACTCGACACACTTGTGTGTCGGTGCCTTTCCCTGTGTTGTTCCTT